TGGAGGAGGGTAGAAGGGAGGGTGAGTAGGATCAGGCTAGGAAGTGGTCATGGGTGCGCCATCGTCAGTTGGTGTCGATGTCGGTGCAGGGGAGTGGCTGGGCTGGGCTGGCGACTGGCGGTGGAGGTGATGGTGATGGCGACGACGACGATGACAATCATGTGCATCAGGCCAACAGTATCTGCGTCATTGTACACGCTTGTCCGCTTCTGCTCGTCCTTCTGATCCCGATCTTGCGCCCTCATCCTCGACGTCAGCCTCGAACTTGGGTTGTGCGCTCGCTCGTTTGGGCTGTCGCCCACTGGGGCCCGCCCGGCAGGATCCGGCGCCGATGGTGATACGCAGCAGCTGGCTTGTTTGCGATGCATGGATCATTTATCCGTCTCCCTTGTCACATCCCTCTCATCCTCCCTCTCTCTCTCCCCAACAGCCGCAGCGGCCTCAGCCACGGTCACCGCCTCGGGTCGTCCTCCGCCATCGCAACCATGAACGCTGCCACCTCAACCATCACTCCCATCACCAGCCATCGCCATCCCCCATCACTATCCTCAGCATTAGCATCAGCATTGTCACCAACCTGGTCATCGCCGCCTCGGGGTTGGGCTGCCTCTTCTCCCGCCACAGCAGCAGCACGGCGCCCATGCCGGCGAGTGGCTGAGCGACGAGCGGCTGGCCGTGACTTGATCACTCGCTGCTCGCCTCGGCCTCGGCCACAGCAGCAGCGCTAGCTGTGGCAGCCACCACACTCATCCCACTCCAGACCGCCTCACCTATTTTCCCTGTGACCACACCAGCCACTCCCCCTGTATAGCCAGCCACAGGTCGTGCTGGTCTTGATCTGGCTTGATCTGGCTTGGCTGTGAGTGGTTGAGCGGGCGGGCGAGCGAGCGGCGAGTTGCTGGCCGGTGAGCAGTCGACAGGCGACGACGACACGGGCATCCGGACACAAGATCGGGCGGCAGACTACTGCAGTCTTGTCTACCACTGCACCCTCCTCTATCCCTTTTCCCTCGCCCTCCCTCCCTTTCCTTCGCCCTGACCAGCCCACTGGCCTCGTCTGGCCCGTCGGTCCTCTCGCCACCAGCTGGGTTGGTTGACAGGTGGCTGGGGCAGGATGGGCAAGGCCCGAGAAGGAGGGAAAAGGAGGTGGGGGAAGGGACTGATAGCCATTGCCACTTGTCTCACTACCCACAGGTAGATCATACTATACTCGTGCTCTGCCTAGCCTGATCGGGGTTGTGCCGGCGGTGGACGGGTCGGCTCGAGCGGCGATCGGTGTTGAGCAGCAGGCGGTCAGAAGCGATGCTGATGACGGGATGCTGTCGGCTGATGTGGGTATCGAGGCAAGGGGATAAGGTGAGTGAGATTGTGGGGGTAGTGAACATGTGTGGTGTGGGTGTGGTGGTTGTGGATGGTGATGGTGGGGAGTGGGGGTCGGAGACGGGCCCGGGGCAGGGGGGTGAGCAGCATCGAAGGGACACCAGGCCAACAGCTTGGGCCTCGGGTGGCAGAACTCGGATTCCGGAATACTGCAGCTGTGGATTGGCGACTATGCAAGGGGGTAGCGTGCGCATGTAGTAGGGTAGTAATGAAATCAGATTGGGCATATCTTGCAATGAGGTTGGTGGGGGTTGTGTGCGGGGTCGGGCGGTCGAGGACGTGCTCAACCACCTAGGCAAAACAAGCCGACGCGGAAATGAGCCAAAGAAGATGGGTGTCGATGACAGCGATATTGGTACTGGAGAATAGTGTGGGGTGAGTGATGACCAGATAAAAAGATCGCGGGTTGGGTAGCCGAACAAACAAGAGAAGAAGCTAGGTGGTAAAAATGTTGGGCCTGAATCGGGGCGAGCGGGGAGGCGGGCTGAGCGGGCCTGGTGGTCGAACGAGGGCGGGGGACAGCTGAGGGGGCCAGAAAAAAAAACTGGGTGGCTTGAGAATGCTGTTGGTTGGAGGAAGGACAGTATGACTTGTGATGGTTGAGGGGTATGGGTGTCAGGGTCGGGGATGGGGATGGGGGTGAGATGGAGCGGGGAGAGGAGGAGGAGGAGGAGGAAGAGGAGGCGGAGTGCGCGATGGGATGGTGGTGGGCATGGCCAAGACATGTGGGTAGGGTTTGATGCTCAGATGATAGTGATGGTGGTGGTTTTTGGGGGTGGGGGTGGTGGTTTG